TTTTTTTTTTTTTTTTTTTCCTATAACTATCGAACCAATGCTTCCCTCCTCGTCGTTCCAAGCCTCTCTTTTCGCAGATATGCACGTACACGAATTGTTGCGCGGTGAAGAAATTGCAAAATCATCGATGAACGGACCTTAAGAGAGACGACAAATCTCCGTGAACGTGCTGGCCACGTTCTGGCGACACGCGTACTTTTTTTTTGCGTGTCCAACGATTAAAGATTCAAAGGAACAAACCGATAGTACACGGAAAATAAAAAAAAAAAAAAAAAAAAAAAAAACGTAGTCTTCTACGATAATATTTAGGAGACATTTTTTTACGATTCAGAAAAGATTAACTAGGTAGAAACTCTGATGGCAAAAACTACTATCGCGGGGCTATCATTTTCTTTCAAAAGAAGTAGGTAGGAAATCAAAAAAAGATGTAACGTGACACGTGAGTAATTACTGTTCGGGGTTTCGCCTGTTTCCTCTCACCTCAGTCTTTATGCCTACTTATACATAGATAGATCGTGCTAAACACATATAAATGTATCTATATACATTATATAGTATATTATTAAAAGAACAACGCGCGGTGGAAGGAAAAAAGGAAGGATGACGTTAGAACAACGATGGTGATGAAACGAAGAGAGTTGAACGGATAAACCAAAGTGAGAAAACTGTTTTGTCAGAATAAGAGAATCAATTGTTGTGGATATAACGACGACGTGTATACTTTATGATACAACGAATAGAGCGAGTGATTATCTGGTGCTGATTAGATCGATTTTTTTTTGAATTTCTTATATCTTTCTTTAATAATCTCGAATTGGGAACGATATCTTTTTCTTGCTTTTTTCTCTGGTCTAGAAAAAATATAAATATCGTTAAGTGGTTTATTAACGTTAAGCGTTTATTAACAAAGGAACGAGACACGACGAAATTTCTCGTATTTTACAAAACAGATCGACAGTGAGGGACAGTAAGGGAAATCGAACGTAGCTGAACGATCGTGATCGACGGTGACAGAAAATTATGCGGGTTCTTCGTTTATATTTTGTCATACAAAAGTACGCGTTTCTTCGATTAATACGTAAGCAATCGTTGTATCGACGAAACCGTTGGATCCGAATCGTTTGCTATAATGTAACATTCCCGTTATTTCATCCACACCGTCAAATGTGCGAGAGAGACAGTTCAAGGAGATATTTCAAGGAAATTATCAAGAGAGTTTTCAAGTCATACGCAGAATTTTTAACTTTGACTTTTACTGCCAGGTCATAATATATACTAAACATACGAATGTAAAGTTTAGTTCTAATTAAAGTAAATATATGAATACGTAATATTTTCTCATTTTTGCCACGTTATTGCAAACGATTCGATCGCTATACATCTGATCCCAATTCCGAAACTTAGAGACAACGATATTCCGGTATCTCGTATTTCAATATATATCATTTAATAAAAACATGGTAACGAGCGGCTGGAAATTTCAGGAGAGCGACTTCTTCTTTCGCGATCACTGACCGTCTTCTTTTTTTTTTTTTTTTTCTTTTCTCTATATTCCCTTCCCGCGCTCAATGTGCACATTCCGGGACCGATTTATGTAAAAATTTGTTGTCTGCGAATGAATGCAAAATAGAGGAAGCGAGGATGATTTACTTAACGTGGGTTGTTTACACAACAACTTATCACGGCGAGCGTAAATATTAAGCATTACGTAACACTACGGTACATTTGTGCATCCCCTTCTCGTCCAAAATTGCGTTTTTACTCTCCGATTGCATCGTAGAGGAAGATCATTT